AGGATGGAAGGAGTAGTAGGGATATAAAGCAGAGGATAGCGCAGGGTCGTGTCGCCTTTAATAAAAAGAAATCACTTCTATGCTCGCGAACGGTTAATTTAGAAATTCGAAAAGGGTTGTTAATGATGTATGTTTGGAGTACGGCGCTGTACGGGTCCGAAATATGGATAGTGGACGCGGTGGAAAAGAAAAGGTTAGAAGCGTTCGAAATGTGGTGTTATAGGCGGATGATGAGGATAACGTGGATAGAGAAGGTTAGAAATGAAGAGGTATTAGAAAGAATAGGAGGACAGAGGACTCTATGGAAGTCAATAAGAAATAGGCGAGATAGAAGTTAAAAGGAGTAAAGGTAGACCTACATTAGATTACTGTTTGAAAATAGTTTAGGATGTGGGATGTTCTAGTTTTAGGGAAATGCGAAGATAATCTCAGGATACGAAGAGTGGAGGTGCGCCTTCAACCAGACTTACGATCTTACAATGATGATAACTTAAAATTCAATTGTTTCCGAACTTAATTTTTTCAATTTACTATCCTTTATCTTACTTCTCCTGAATTAAGGATATAAAGTGGCATTTGAGCAACATCGCGAATGCAGGTGTTTGATGGCACTTGAAGATTTCCTTCAAAAATCGACGTAGAAGCAGACGTTTCAACACAGTTCAAGCATACTTCGTCAACAGACCTAGAAAAGGCGCGTCGTTAATCCCAAGTGGGAAATTGCAAGAAATCGTTTCAATTTTTGTTTCAAAATTTTTACGTTGCATTAAATGAGGACTGATTTTCCTCTTCTAGTTGAAACTCGACCTTAAGCTGCGAACTTTCAGATAAGTTTGTACCAGGTGGTAGACGAATTGCCATCGTTAAACTATTTTTGCCTGCTTGATGCGACGGGGCCTGGAATAAAAGTGCGATAAAATCTGTAAATTATCGCCTCAAGAAACGGAAAAGTATAATATACTGGGCGTTTCGTTTTATTTTAAACGGTGAAAATTCTTACAGTTTTACTTATTTCGCCGACTATTTCCGACCCTTCCGCTATATTATTTGACCTCCTTTTAAAGCGTTGTAACAAATACGTAAGAGGTCTTAAGGAAAACCTTCTAATTCTTCTGGTTGTAGATTTGTCTTCTGACGAAGACGTTCCTTGTTCGCATTTTTCGTGTTTCTTTTCCTTTAAGCTTTGGAGACACTTGGAGAATTTCTTTAGTTTACTCATATCGGAATTAACGACATCGTTATCAACGTATTGGTTCGCTTGATCAAAAGATGCTAGCTTCGCTGGACATCTGATTGCAAAAAGTTTTGATTGAGAATCGTTTGAGAGCACGTCTTGCTTACAAAGTGATTTCCGCTTTCTTCTTTTCTTTCTTTCGGCATTAGACTTCAGACCGTCGTATATGTTTTCTTGTTTTAACATAGTGTTACGATATTACTAAAGGTAATTAACACTACAAATTTTTCATAATTTATACGGTAAAATGTCACAATTGTACAATGACAGAATTCTTGCCTTTTTAAGGTTTGAGTTAAAGACAAGGTGGGTCAAAGCTCACTCATTTATTTTACAAAGTATTCACTTAGTAGAATAGAGATTTAAAACATTTCACCAACTTTATTTTTATTCAATAAATACTGGATGAATGTAAATTTGAAGTATATTTAACGATTTCAAAACTAAGGCTCGTTGTCTACGATGCCGATCAAACTGAAGTCGGAACGACGACAGTGGGAATATGCCTACGATAAACACGATCAGCTTACGACAGTCTCGACAAGATGCTGGAACCACGACGAGGATCGATTATGTCGTTATTATTTTTTCTATTAACGGATGTACCATGAAATATATGTATATAGGCTGCAAGTGCACGAAAACTCTATTTTGACATTCGATGCAGCGACTTGAACTTGTCGTCATAAATATGAATGCATCTTTTTCCCGATTGCTATCAATATATGGATCCAGTTGACATCTGCGTCTTCCTGTACCGCAATTGCAGTGTCCGGATCAGTTAGTTGCAATCACTTTCCCAACCGACTGACCACAATTTAACCGGAGTCGGGGACACCCAGCCTTATGGTATCTTAAATTCCCTGCAGTTATCGGAAATAGATAGGAACAGTCTTAAAACTATAGATATCAGAAACATTATTTTATATTTAGAAAGGGTCAAAGAAAGTATTATTTGAATAGTAATAACCAACCTATCATAAAATGTCGTTAAAAATCTTCACACATAAATTCCTTTAAAGGACATACGNTTCCTATACAGTCCACACTCTCATTAGAAGATAATTTTTCAAAGGATTTTTCCATGGAGGACGAAAACAATAAGGTTTAAGGCTTCCTTTTCAAGTTTATATGGTATAAAATAACAAATATTTCTATTAAAAAATAACTTGGTAAAGTGTTGTAATACATTTTAAAAAGCTTAACAACAACAAACAGTCTACAACTTCTTTAGAATAAATTTAGCCGATTGTTGGTTGCATATCTTCATTATAAAACTGATCAATTTCATATACAGTTAAGAGGTTGTCACACTGCATTAAGAAATTTGGAGAAGCAAAATTGCTATTTTAATTTTTTTTTTAAGAAAAGATGTAAATATGTTGGACGATTATTGTATTTGGTTTTAAATAACATAAAATGTCAACCTGGAAACTGCTTTTTAGTTAAATAAAAGCATCACTAGAAACTTGCTTCATCGACATCGCCTTCGTAGCCACTTTCCTTATTATCGTCCGAATTTCTTCGTTTATTGTTCAAATTAGGCAATTTATCATCTTTAACGCTAGTTTTGGATCTTTTTATTCTTGATTTAACTCCTTCTTTGATATCTATAGTATTTATACTTTCATCTTTTTCGGATTTAGTTGCTGATGGTTGCGGATTGTTTATTTTGATTTCGTTTAAAGTTGATTGGAACACCTTTTCTTTTTTAAGATTCTTGCTGGCTATGGTCTCTGCTTGGACAACATCGACAGATGAATCTTGAGACTCTTTTGTTGTTGAAGAACTTCCACTTGAAACACTATTTTCTTCTAATTTCTTATCATATATTTGGTCTTTTTCTTTTTCAGCATTTGAATTTACGATTTCGTTACTATTCCTTTTGGTTTCGATCGTTTGGGTGTGTAAAATCATATTTGGTTCCTGTTCTTCATGTGCGATTTCATCTACATTCAAATTATAACTGCTAGTATCATCTTGATCGATAGATTTGTTTTTACTTATGTAAACAACATTTACAGAATCGTTCGTTTCTGAAAGCTCTTTTTCCGGATTGCCTTTTTTTCTCTCAGGTTGTTCAATGTTTGAGCTTTGTACATCACTCACATTACTTTCTTCACTCTCAAGTATTTCTGATTCGGTCCTAATTAAATTTTGATCGAATCTAACGGTATAGTTTCTATTTTCTGCCAACGGTGTGGTTGAGTTTTCAATGTCGGTCGGCGAATTGAAAGGTGTCCTGTTTCTGATTTTACCAGTCTGAGTTAATTCTTTTCCCTTGAGTAGAATATTCGGGGTCACGTTTGCTTCGTTTGTGGATTTTATACTTTCTTGATTTGTTTCGTTTTTTTCTTCATTCTCACGTCTTACCACTTCCGCTATATTAGGAGTAGAACTTTCGTAGTCATATATTTCACTCGCTTTCAGTACAATTAATTTATCAGAACCTTCAGAAGTGGCCGTTAAAGAAGATTGTGGCTTTATTCTATCGACTTCCTCGTCGTCATCTTCTTCTTTGCAGTTTTTATTTTGATGAACAATTCCTTTTCCAATGTCGTATTTTATTACTTTTGAAGATGGCTCGCAGTTGGGATCAATAATGATGGACGAGTTGATCTCGTCAGTATTTTCGTACGTGGGATGTTCGTTGTCTTTTTGACCTGACTGGATGATATTGGTTGCCGCTCCGATTTTCCTTAAATTTGAACTATCATTCTCTTCTAAAGTTACCAGACGATCAGTCTTTTGTTCGACAGACGCACTAGATTCTCTACTTGCGCCACGTTCTCCTAAAGGAGTTACTTTGGAAACTATGGTAACGTTTCCGATTTTAGTAAGCGAAGAAGGGGGCACAATCCGTTTACCTTTAATTGAAACATTACTTGTTTCACTTACAGCTATTACTTCGGCGTTAAAATTAGATTGATTATCTGTGCACAGAGCAAATCTGTTTAAACGAACGTCTTCAGGCGAAGATTGGCCTTCAATAGCTAAAACTTGTTCTTCTTCATCAGTATTCACGATGGATTGTTTTTGATCTTCTAGTTTTCTTTGGGTAATGTTAGTTTTGTTAACAATTTGAAATTTGGGGGACTCTTTTATGGCGGGAGGGACTTCGTTAGATTCTTCTTTGTCATTTCCTGTTTTCTGCTTATCATTTTCGCTATAACTAGAGGAAGATTCGTTTGGTTTAGGTTCATCTTTTTCTTTATCGTCACTACACTGATTTGGTGGATTTTTGTAAAGAAAACCATCGTCTTCGTTATTGACTACAGTGTTGCAATCTGGAGATTCATCTGCTATTACTTCTGATACAGTCGCAGAGTTTGTACTATCACAGTTCATTTCCTTGTCAGAGCATGATGCATTTACCAAATTTTCGTCGTCTTCGTTGTTGGTATCTTTTAAGGCAATTGTTTTACACTTTTCTCCAAGAATCGTTTTCTTTTTCAACTTCTGATCCATTGAACAAGAAGCAACACATGTCATTTTTGTTACTATGGAATCTTCAAAGCGAGTCTTCTTTCCAAAAATGTAAGACGTTTTCGGTATTTTGGGAAGCAAACCTTTAGGGCCACAAAAGAAGACGGTTTTTGAAGTATTTTCATGTTTGTGATGGGATGTAGATGCTAATTTATTGTCTGTATTTAAATGATTTCGGCTGCCACGAGGACGGCTTTTTACAAGTTCGTCTAAACAGATTTTGAACGCCGAGTTAAAGTTTTCTTTTTGCTGATCGCCGATGTTTACTTCCGGTGGAAAACTTGTGCTTTCGATATCGCCAGTGTTTTTAAATGCTCTATCAAGTGCTATGTCAACTATCATGTAGGCAATTTCTTTCATTTCGTTTTCAATACACGTTTTTCCGGACTTTACCTTTGGATTTGTTGAATTACTTTGTTTCTTATCTAGATATTTAAATGTGAACGATGGTTCTTCTTCCGTTACTCCGTTGAATATGATTTCATTTTTAATTTCTTGTGAGCTCTTCAATAATTCTTTGATTATCTTTTGAATATCTTTTTGAACTATGGAATATGTTTTGCGTATCTCAACAGAATTGGGCTTAATTTCATCTTCTTTTGGTTTTTCGTTTTCTATTATTATATTAATCGTGTCGTCGTTGCCTTTATGTAATCTTTTAAATTTCATGTTTACTTGTTCATCGGCAAATCTTAAAGTTTTAAAATTTGATGTGGTACGATCCCTGAGCGTAATTCTTTTGTCTTCACCTCCACTGTCATCACATAAGGCTTTTTTATCTGTGACGCTGGAATCGGCCCTCAATATCTGTACATCATTAGTGTTGTTTACTATTATATTTTGAATTGTTATTGTAGAGTCTACTTGACTGTTTCCTTTAACAGTTGGACATTTAAAATCAGCTAACTGAGAACACTTTTCTTCTATGTTTTTGACGTTTACCAATTGCTTCTCGCAAATAAATTCACTTGCGTTTTCATGAAATTTATCGCTGCTTTTCAAATCGGAATTATTAACTGACTCCAACAACGTGCTTTTATTTTCTGTACCTGTAGTAGCTTCATTCTTGTTCTTCTCATTTTCCATACTAATTTTATCCAATACCTGTTTCTCTCTTACTTTATCGCTTGCTTCAGCGAAATCAGAATTTTCCTCACCAATTTTGGTCTTTTCTTGTTTTGTTGCATTTGAGGCATCAATTATCGCACTAATTTGGGATTCCCCATCTTCTGGTATAGTGCCTACTTCTGAGAATAACTCATTCTCTTCAACGAAAGGATTGTTGGTACTTTTCAAATATTCTGCGTAGAGATTAGATCCACTGTTTCTTCTAATAGTTGTTGTTGAAGATTTATTGTTTAATTCTACATTGTTTTTACGAATATAATCTAAGAAGTCCATATCCATTTCGTCCTCTAACATTTCACTTCCTTCGATGGTGTCTTGTAATTCTTTTTGATGAAAAGGCGCATTTTCTATGCTACTAGTTTCATTTTCTGCAAACTCGGACAGCAGTCGATCAGTTGTTGCTAAAAGTGCCTCGCTCTTATCAACAAAACTCTTTACTAGTTGATCCTGAACATTCTGAAACCGCTTTGCCTGTTGCATATCTTCTTTTATTACATCAACGAGTTGGTTAATCCTTTCTACCCAAGCAGATATTGCATTCAGTTCACCCTTTTCTGCGGTAATAGCGCCACCAGATTTGGGCGTGCTATAGTTATTTTCATTAGTATTTCCTTTATGTGTGAATATATCACCTATTATTGTTTCCTTGCACGTTTTGGGGGTTGAGGCGAATTGGAAACAATCTTTTTGATGTTCATTAGTGACATTGACATTTGAGTCTTTCGAGATTGACGTTGCAAAGTAGCATTTTACCGTGTTGTTAAAGTTCCTTGAACAAGCGAATCTGTTTTGACCTTCGTGGAGCAAATCGGAACTGCTGCTTTCCAAGTACTTCATAAGTTTAGATTTAGCATTTTCTAGTAAAGTCAAAGTATCGTCATAATTATGATCTTTGAATTCACTTCCACGATTTTGGGTCGATGAAAACGACGAAGTGTGAACCTTATCTCTTTCTACGTATCGTTTCATGCCATCCGATAAAAAATCGCACTGCTTTCCACCATTACCTTCACATTTTGCTCCTTCGAAGCTTGCGTTGGACTCGTTGGATTCGGTGCTTCGCGTGTTCGTGTCTATTTGAGCATTGCCGGTATACGAATCTCTTTCACAAGTCGCTGTATTTGTGGTACTATCGCTATTGCTAATTCGATACGAAATGGGAGTGTTGAAAGGGACTTTGTCGGCAATTTCGTTCGAGCTTATCGAGTTCTCTGTGACGGCGCTAGCATTAGACGAAGTGCTTTGAGGCCAGACCGACTCCACAGAATTCAGGCTCTTGCCTCTATTCAGAGGTTGTTTGTTGTCGTTAGTAAACAAGAAAGGTAATGAGGATGACGTCGAAAATTCTTCCGACGCTTCGGAAAGGGAATTATGTCGATTTTTAGACAACTTCCTGTTCTCTTTCTCAAGACTATGAGTATTTAAGTTTCCGTTTAGCCAATCAGTGGTATTGTCCTCTTCAACAGAATCTCTTCTAAAATTAGTAAGGAGTTCATGTAAAATTAAGAATGTGAAGAGTACAACAATGCGTCATTACTTGTCCAAAATTTTGAAGAGGACATCTATTTTCTTATTTTCGTTTTTCTCAATACAGGCTTGTAATGTTTGGGGTAAGAGGGTATTTATAATGGAACATTTTATTACTTCAGAGCTTGAACATAGTTTACGGGTAACCAATTTTGGCAGGAAGGAAGCAGATTGGCCAATTTTAAATAAAAACACCTTCAGTTTTATTCTGCTTAAAGGAGAAATGTCATCCTGCAGTTTCGCCTACAATTAATGTAAAGGAAACAGCAAATCTTAATTTTGTACTTTCCCTAATTCTTATTAAAAGCTAAATGCAGTGAAGATAACAGGTTTGCAAAAAAAATCAATTCAATTCTGTTCGTTTTCATATTTCCTAAGGATGAATTTGGATTGACATGGATCATTTACCGAGAGAGTTTAAAGATTTTATTGGGATATCTAAAAATTATATTAAATTAACGTTGCCCTTACCGTAGTTTACTAAATTTGTCTACACCGTTATTCGTACAATAAATTAACATAGTGACGTTGTGCACTCTCTGACTTGCATTTTGTACTATCAGCAAACCCCAACCTGCTAAACCCGAACATTATTTTGAAACGAAGGTTACGCTAACAGCAATCTAATTAAAGAAAATAATAATGCAGCGAAACTTCAACGTGACGTTCCTTAGAAACCGCCGCTCCGTGACGTCTCATTTGCTATCAAGATTTTGTACTAATTAATTAATATTCTCGGCATGCAGTTAATTATAATGTGAAATAAATAGGTTTCCAATGATTCACTCGCGACACACGCTCAGCTCGAAACGTACAGCACAGAGAAATTGATAAATACCTCTGATATAACAGCAGGCTTGATTATAATTGGAGAATGGGTGAGATCTATCTCTGAATTTCTTTTCAATTTCTGAAAGTAGGGAAAGGATTATAATTATTATTATCTTTTCGTTAAATCAGACTTTTCTTGTAGTACTAAAAGTCTATATTTCCGTAACCGTATTTTTTATTAACACTAAGATAAACGGGGTACTGACTTATTATTTGAATAAGGGCGCCATTGTTTGTGTGTAAGTTAATCCATTATTTTTTATGATTCTCGCCATAGTTTTTTATGATTCGATTTTACGAATATTTCTACGAGTTATTCGTTAAAATTCCCTTCAGTTGCCTGGTCGTACGTTTTTAGTTTTAACGAAAGGATATCAAAGAAAAAGCGATTCCATTCAAAGAAATCCCTGTTTTTTTCAGGAAATTAAATATCCTTGTCGAAAAGAAAGGGTCAAAGAAAGTATTATTTGAATAGTAATAACCAACCTATCATAAAATGTCGTTAAAAATCTTCACACATAAATTCCTTTAAAGGACATACGAATCACAAAAGAGTATTTAAGTTAAAAAATATTTTAAAGGATGAAGAGAATTATAGAATCTCAAGTTACAGAAGTTTGACTGTATATATATTAAAAGGTGTGTGTTTGGAGCGCGGCGCTGTACGGGTGCGAAACACGGACGGTGGGTGAGGTGGAAAATAAAAAATCGGTTGTCTGTAAAGTCGGTTTACTGACGATAGTTGAACGTGACAACGTCATAAGAAAATACTGATGGAATGGTTTCATTTTTCAAAAGAAAATTTTAATTTTATTTGTTTGATAGATATTTTGTATGGATATAGAGAAGGAGGTAAATGGAAATGTATTATTGTATAGCAGCTGTCCACGCGGACGCATCGCTCACTCAAGTAGGAGAGAGACAGATGTCGAACGCTGCCGAACGCGGAGGTCGATTGTGCCTCTTTGTCGCTCGTTCCGCGCTCTCGCTTGCACTTCAAGCCTTAAATGGAACGCCTCAGAGCGAGGTAACGACGCATGAGTCATGTTTTTTCGTGCGTGCAGCCGGGCTCCATCGAATTATAAGACGTTGTCACGTCAAAAGTTAGAAGCGTTCGAAATGTGGTGTTATAGGCGGATGATGAGGATAACGTGGATAGAGAAGGTTAGAAATGAAGAGGTATTAGAAAGAATAGGAGGACAGAGGACTCTATGGAAGTCAATAAGAAATAGGCGAGATAGAAGTTAAAAGGAGTAAAGGTAGACCTACATTAGATTACTGTTTGAAAATAGTTTAGGATGTGGGATGTTCTAGTTTTAGGGAAATGCGAAGATAATCTCAGGATACGAAGAGTGGAGGTGCGCCTTCAACCAGACTTACGATCTTACAATGATGATAACTTAAAATTCAATTGTTTCCGAACTTAATTTTTTCAATTTACTATCCTTTATCTTACTTCTCCTGAATTAAGGATATAAAGTGGCATTTGAGCAACATCGCGAATGCAGGTGTTTGATGGCACTTGAAGATTTCCTTCAAAAATCGACGTAGAAGCAGACGTTTCAACACAGTTCAAGCATACTTCGTCAACAGACCTAGAAAAGGCGCGTCGTTAATCCCAAGTGGGAAATTGCAAGAAATCGTTTCAATTTTTGTTTCAAAATTTTTACGTTGCATTAAATGAGGACTGATTTTCCTCTTCTAGTTGAAACTCGACCTTAAGCTGCGAACTTTCAGATAAGTTTGTACCAGGTGGTAGACGAATTGCCATCGTTAAACTATTTTTGCCTGCTTGATGCGACGGGGCCTGGAATAAAAGTGCGATAAAATCTGTAAATTATCGCCTCAAGAAACGGAAAAGTATAATATACTGGGCGTTTCGTTTTATTTTAAACGGTGAAAATTCTTACAGTTTTACTTATTTCGCCGACTATTTCCGACCCTTCCGCTATATTATTTGACCTCCTTTTAAAGCGTTGTAACAAATACGTAAGAGGTCTTAAGGAAAACCTTCTAATTCTTCTGGTTGTAGATTTGTCTTCTGACGAAGACGTTCCTTGTTCGCATTTTTCGTGTTTCTTTTCCTTTAAGCTTTGGAGACACTTGGAGAATTTCTTTAGTTTACTCATATCGGAATTAACGACATCGTTATCAACGTATTGGTTCGCTTGATCAAAAGATGCTAGCTTCGCTGGACATCTGATTGCAAAAAGTTTTGATTGAGAATCGTTTGAGAGCACGTCTTGCTTACAAAGTGATTTCCGCTTTCTTCTTTTCTTTCTTTCGGCATTAGACTTCAGACCGTCGTATATGTTTTCTTGTTTTAACATAGTGTTACGATATTACTAAAGGTAATTAACACTACAAATTTTTCATAATTTATACGGTAAAATGTCACAATTGTACAATGACAGAATTCTTGCCTTTTTAAGGTTTGAGTTAAAGACAAGGTGGGTCAAAGCTCACTCATTTATTTTACAAAGTATTCACTTAGTAGAATAGAGATTTAAAACATTTCACCAACTTTATTTTTATTCAATAAATACTGGATGAATGTAAATTTGAAGTATATTTAACGATTTCAAAACTAAGGCTCGTTGTCTACGATGCCGATCAAACTGAAGTCGGAACGACGACAGTGGGAATATGCCTACGATAAACACGATCAGCTTACGACAGTCTCGACAAGATGCTGGAACCACGACGAGGATCGATTATGTCGTTATTATTTTTTCTATTAACGGATGTACCATGAAATATATGTATATAGGCTGCAAGTGCACGAAAACTCTATTTTGACATTCGATGCAGCGACTTGAACTTGTCGTCATAAATATGAATGCATCTTTTTCCCGATTGCTATCAATATATGGATCCAGTTGACATCTGCGTCTTCCTGTACCGCAATTGCAGTGTCCGGATCAGTTAGTTGCAATCACTTTCCCAACCGACTGACCACAATTTAACCGGAGTCGGGGACACCCAGCCTTATGGTATCTTAAATTCCCTGCAGTTATCGGAAATAGATAGGAACAGTCTTAAAACTATAGATATCAGAAACATTATTTTATATTTAATATATTTTTACAAACGGACGTGTTGCGGTATGGAAGCTCAAAAAGATTTGTACTTGTATGTATGTCGTCTTTGAAAGACTCGGTATATTCATGGATATCTTTCACGTATGACCGTCAGTATTCGGTTGGCCTAAAAATATCGATTTATTTTTAAGCAGCACTGTATTTTCTTTCCGTAAATTAAAAATTCATGTCCTACATGGTTTGACGCGGCGGAACAAGAAGGGATTTTGTATGCCCATCAGTGGGCTGCCTAGATGTTGTCCAAAAGGGATTTTATTTCACCTACACATGCAGCCTGTTTTAAATGTCTCAGACCTCTCTTACAAGCGGCAGCTGCTGCTTTATTTTGCTTCTGATCAAGAGAGATGATGAAAACGCTGCATCACGTTTTGCTTTCGTAAAACGAATCTAACAAAGCGAAGGATCGTTCGAGCGACGTTGTAAATAAAACGCGCGACCTTTTCTGGTTTATTTTTTGTTTAATGACAAAACTAGTGAGTGTCACCTTCCAACGTTTTTTTTTTCTTGATAAACTGAACAATACGTCAACAATAAAACCATCGGCGCGTGTAAACTCAAAGTGCAAACCTTGAAAAATAGTGAAAGAATTTAAGGTAAGATTATTTCTAATCATAAATTAAAACGTAACTTGCGGATGTTCGTATTTTACCTACCTATAATATATAATATACAATTTATGCAACAACTTAAATTTAATAGTATTATTTGTAAAAACATTTTAATACTTCTATAATTTAAATTAAATCAAAGTAATAGGTGCAATTCTAATGTCAAGTATAAATTTTATTGTATCTACTATCAAATTAGACTTACATTTGTAAAATAATTCATTAATGCTCTAAAGTTATCAGATTTTAATAAATTATTGCCTTTATGGTTAATAAGTTCTCATCATTCTTACACTTGCTTAACAAACGTAGTCGGTATATACAATTTTGAATATACATAATACTGAAAGTATCAACAACTTTGAAAAGGGCTCGGCGCTCTTGTAGTAGGCTTGGTCTTGGCCTCTAGACTAGAAGAAGAAATGTAGGCGGAAGTTGTATGTATTAGACCACAGACCATAAAATTAGTGTTTACATTTGTACTGTTATCTAAAGTTCAAAATCAGTATAATATTTCGTTTGGAAAACCTTGAGCCGTGCTCCTAATCGTCCCGCGCTCCCTTTTTCGATGAAAATGACATATGATCCAGGACCTGCGTAGGCACTACTTCCGATTTCAAATTTTTGGATTTTTCTGAAGAAACTTTCCTAATTTTCGTCCTAACTAATATTACAAATGTTAGTTTATTTATTTGTTTGTTTGTCGGCTTTTCACGCCTTAATTACTCAACCGATTATTATGAAATTTTGTACACCCAGTGATAGGGGTACAAAAAAGGACATTGGGTATCTTTCACCCGAAAAAAAATAAATGTTCCCGAAGGTTAGAAAAATTCGTTCTATGTGATCGTCGTTGATCTTTGACACACATTTAGGACATCAGCGACAGCGAAGCCGAGGATAAAATCTAGTCATTCATAAATGATGCACATTCACTGTACATTTTAAAGTACCGAATTTGACATAAGAGACAAGATTTATAATTAACTTAGTCACTTTAGATTTGCACTTATCAAAAAAATAATTGATTGGCATTTTAAATCAGTTTGGCTTAAAAATTTGCATACAGGTGTATCGAAATAGTCGTAAATAACATAGTGGCTTGCATGTACCTTTGGGAGTATTACTTACAATTTAGTCTGTTCAACGTACATATTTATTATGCTCTTGTACTCAATTAGCAACATCTGCTCATAAACGTACAAACACATTGTAAGTAGTAAATCCTTTGAATGGTATGTAAAATCGTACGAAAGGTAGTCGAATGATAATAATTATTCCTGCTTGTTTGAATACGCACAACATTGCTTACTTGTCCGGTGTGTCTGTAACACCTGGCTTTTAATTCGAATAAATGTTAGCTGCGTGATATACAAATTTATGTTATTACATATTACCATTCCAAAAATTGTCGCCCAGATACGTAACCGTTACCTCCACCGAAGGTAGTAATTACATTTAACAATCCCTCAACTAACGAATAGGTACTATTCCATTTAAATTTAATACAATAGTGTTTCTTTCGTAAGAACTGAGAGACATGCAGTCTTATAGTTTTTTACTGCATCATCATAAGGTTGTCAGTCCTAAGACTGGTTGGACATGCACCTCCATTCTTTCCTATCCTGAGATAATCTTCGCTTTTCCCTAAAACTAAAACAAGCCACATCCTTAACCATTTGCGAATAGTAATCTAATGTAAGTTTACATCTTCTCCTATTAACTCCTGTTTGTACATCTGGCTAGACCTTTATGCCTGAGGTGTCCTATCCAAATATGCAAAGAACACTTAAGGCCCAACCGTTTTATTATAAATAATATCATAGTTATATTATATATTTCATTTTGGTAATAGAATTACAGCCGAAACAATGTTTCAGAGTCCGAATAAAATTGTGTAGTTTTTAAGCAAAATGCTTGTAATTTCGTCACTTTTTATTGTCTTAACAATTGTTTAATTTCTTCAGAAGGCAACAAAATATTTACGTGTGGAAATTAGAAATAGAGTATTTATTTATTTCATTTCAAAAATGTAGATATATCCATTAAGTGAAGGTAGATTCAATCAACTCCTTTATGTGGATTTAAAACTACTAAACTGATTTTGATAATTCTTTCAACAAAGTGTTGATTGTATTTCAGGAATCGTTTTAATGTGTGGCACATCACGCTACACCTTGTGTTACCATTTCTCTTTAATGTGTAATATTATGTTCAGCGCCTCCACCATATTTATATTATTTACTGTTACTGCGTATAATTAAGAAACGCCAAATAATTACAAAGTTAACGATATTCTTTTCGATTACGACCTTTATACGGAAAAAATATTTTTACTACCCCTACTTTTGCGTTGCCCGGGGCCCAAGGCCCATTGTCCGCCCCTCACCGACACCACTGCATATGGCAAATAGTCAAGCTCCACCAGTGGTTTTATGAAAAAAGTCCGGAAACGAAAGGATAAAATAATTGACCACAACCCAATGTAACTTTTAATAACGTTTATCACAGTATGTCTCCAAGGGTTTATTCCTTTTTGGATCGTCGTATTTCGATGCTGATAATTTAACATGAAGGCGATTCCGATTCGAACGGGTAGAACAAGTGGTTTTATAACAGCATAAGGGACTTAAAAGTACTGCATATTGGGTCAACAAGTAAGCGAAGCAGGAAGGGCGTGCGGGATAAAGCCAGGTGTGTCAGAAACGACCGAGATCACGGTGACGGCTTCGAATGGATGTCGTAGTGGATATAGGTAGAAGAGAGTACGATGGAGAAGGCGAAGGCCTTGTGGCCGCTGATTACAAACCAGTGCTGGAATCTGTAGGAACTCCAGCTGCTGCAACATGTGCGGCCCGTCCTGGCCTCTCTGGCACCGTTGCGACTCGCACCTGTCGATTTGGCCTTTTCTCGTTTATCATACAACACCGAATACGCCCATGAATCTGCCATCAGTCATGATTGAGATACAATTTAAAAGCGCAACCGATAATATTTAATTAATGCATTCATCAATTATGTACAAAAATGAATCCATTTATATTGTGTATTGAAGAACAGATATTGCGCACAACGTTTTAGCGCTAAAAATATCAATTCTTTGGAGGTAGACGATTAGAAAAGTACAGTTTTTACAATAAATTTGATTATAAAGGTTAGTAAATAACGGTAACGTGTTTTTGATCCCAAGTTTTTACTGTCCATACAGAAATAAGGTTCCCTGGATAACTGGGAGTCCTTGTACTTTCGATGTCTTCCTCCGACTGTGTCTGTTTGCATATCTTACTAGTTTAGAAGCTAAATGCTTTATTAATGTAAAATTTTAAAAATTTGCCTTACAAGGACTATTAGGTTAAGTCAGTGGTGTTGTGGAACCGGAACGCTCCGGAACGTCGTTCCTTTTTGGACAGGAACGCGTTCCGGAACTAAAGATGATTTCTGATAACGAGAATTGGCTGACGTATTGAAAAAAAAATTAAGAAGAATTGCTTTTTTTTTTCTAATTTTTGACGAATTTTTATATGTNGGGTAACCAATTTTGGCAGGAAGGAAGCAGATTGGCCAATTTTAAATAAAAACACCTTCAGTTTTATTCTGCTTAAAGGAGAAATGTCATCCTGCAGTTTCGCCTACAATTAATGTAAAGGAAACAGCAAATCTTAATTTTGTACTTTCCCTAATTCTTATTAAAAGCTAAATGCAGTGAAGATAACAGGTTTGCAAAAAAAATCAATTCAATTCTGTTCGTTTTCATATTTCCTAAGGATGAATTTGGATTGACATGGATCATTTACCGAGAGAGTTTAAAGATTTTATTGGGATATCTAAAAATTATATTCAATTAACGTTGCCCTTACCGTAGTTTACTAAATTTGTCTACACCGTTATTCGTACAATAAATTAACATAGTGACGTTGTGCACTCTCTGACTTGCATTTTGTACTATCAGCAAACCCCAACCTGCTAAACCCGAACATTATTTTGAAACGAAGGTTACGCTAACAGCAATCTAATTAAAGAAAATAATAATGCAGCGAAACTTCAACGTGACGTTCCTTAGAAACCGCCGCTCCGTGACGTCTCATTTGCTATCAAGATTTTGTACTAATTAATTAATATTCTCGGCATGCAGTTAATTATAATGTGAAATAAATAGGTTTCCAATGATTCACTCGCGACACACGCTCAGCTCGAAACGTACAGCACAGAGAAATTGATAAATACCTCTGATATAACAGCAGGCTTGATTATAATTGGAGAATGGGTGAGATCTATCTCTGAATTTCTTTTCAATTTCTGAAAGTAGGGAAAGGATTATAATTATTATTATCTTTTCGTTAAATCAGACTTTTCTTGTAGTACTAAAAGTCTATATTTCCGTAACCGTATTTTTTATTAACACTAAGATAAACGGGGTACTGACTTATTATTTGAATAAGGGCGCCATTGTTTGTGTGTAAGTTAATCCATTATTTTTTATGATTCTCGCCATAGTTTTTTATGATTCGATTTTACGAATATTTCTACGAGTTATTCGTTAAAATTCCCTTCAGTTGCCTGGTCGTACGTTTTTAGTTTTAACGAAAGGATATCAAAGAAAAAGCGATTCCATTCAAAGAAATCCCTGTTTTTTTCAGGAAATTAAATATCCTTGTCGAAAAGAAAGGGTCAAAGAAAGTATTATTTGAATAGTAATAACCAACCTATCATAAAATGTCGTTAAAAATCTTCACACATAAATTCCTTTAAAGGACATACGAATCACAAAAGAGTATTTAAGTTAAAAAATATTTTAAAGGATGAAGAGAATTATAGAATCTCAAGTTACAGAAGTTTGACTGTATATATATTAAAAGGTGTGTGTTTGGAGCGCGGCGCTGTACGGGTGCGAAACACGGACGGTGGGTGAGGTGGAAAATAAAAAATCGGTTGTCTGTAAAGTCGGTTTACTGACGATAGTTGAACGTGACAACGTCATAAGAAAATACTGATGGAATGGTTTCATTTTTCAAAAGAAAATTTTAATTTTGTTTGATAGATATTTTGTATGGATATAGACAAGAAGGTAAATGGAAATGTATTATTGTATAGCAGCTGTCCACGCGGACGCATCCATCACTCAAGTAGGAGAGAGACAGATGTCGAACGCTGCCGAACGCGGAGGCCGATTGTGCCTCTTTG